AAGTTAACAGTTAGTTAGTGTACAGTATATAACTGAAAGTAGTTAGCCTTTGTATTCACTTAGTTCATTTTGTTATCTGAGAAAATGTTCTTTCCATAGTCTCTCTAATATCTCCTCTCGTTTATTGAAGATTATCCTCCAGAAATCATCAGGGTATCAGAGCTTGCGGATTGATCTGAGTTTCGTTCACTCTTATCTGGTGTTATCTTCAACTACTCTTCATTTCACCCAATTGTTTTCGATTTACCAATTTTTGGTGTGATTCTTCTTTGAGCAATCAGGGTTACACAAATCAGAAATTTCTTTGAGATTTCAACTTCATTATCAATGGCGATTGGAAGTTCAGATGACATTATTGATACTCCTGCACCATCTCCAGCTAGAGGCAGTATTGGAGCAATTCCAGTTATAGATCAGTATCATCCACACTTTCTCCAGCCCTGTGATATTCCAGGTAGCTCGGTCATCTCAATCAAACTCACTGGACCTGAGAATTATGCCTTATGGAACAGTTTATGCGAGTTAGTTTACTTAGAAAGAGTAAATTAGGATTTGTCGATGGTAGGTATTCTAAGGACAAATTTGATCCATCTATGCATGAGTTGTGGGAGAATTGCAATGCTATAGTGCCTTCATGGATAATGAACTCTGTTAGCGAGGAATTACTGAGTGGTATGGTATATGCTACGAGTGCTCAGAAGGTGTGGACAGATCTTAGGAAAACATTTGATAAGGTGAATGGATCTAGAATATTGTACTTTCATAGGCAAATAGCTACTTTAACTCAGGGGATCTCATATGTTTCAGTTTATTTCTCAAAACTAAAAGAATTGTGGGCAGAGTTTGATGCCTTAATGCCTTGTCCTGGTTGTGGTTGTGAAGAGACTAAAAAGTATGTTCAGCATTTTGAGTCTCAAAGGTTTCTGTAGTTCCTAATAGGGCTGAATGAGTCATATGCTTAGTCTAGCAATCAGATAATGATGATGTCACCAACTCCATCTATTTAATAAGGCATATGCCATGATTATCTCTAAGGAAAGCAGGAGGCCATTGACTCGTCCCACACATGTGCCTGAGGTAAATGAGGGAATAGCTTTGTTTAGCAACAATGAAGGGTAAAATGTTGTTAATATATCCAGTCTTGAAAACACTTCCATGTTCAATTGCAAAGGAGGATCTGCTAGTTCAGGACCTATCTATAGGCACAAAAAAAACAACTTGTATTGTGACTATTGTCATTTCAAGGGGCACACTAGAGATACTTGCTATAAGCTGGTAGGATATCCAGCAGATATCAAAACTAAGAAGAAGACCCCCTCTTTCTATTATGCTAGAGACAACCAACCTAGCAATGATGTTAAATCTACTTCCACCAGTGATGGTTTTGGTGCAAGTGTCAATCTTGCTAGAAATGCAGCACCTTGTCAAGGTCAGAATCAGAATATTCAAGCTAGACTAGCTGAAATTCCTTAGTTCACTCAGGAGCAGTATACTCAGATTTTGTAGATGCTTGGCAAAGGAAATGAGAATGGTGGTTCATCTGTGCTGCAAGTGTAGCAAATGCAGTTACTACCACTAATGAGGATCTAATTAAGTGGATAGTAGATTCTGGAGTATCCAACCACTTGGTTAACAACATACAAATTTTGATTGAAAGTAGCTTATGTGATAAATCTAAAGAGTAAAGTTTATCTACCAACTGGGAAGTCAGTCACTGTCATCACATAGGCTCTACCTATCTCTTTCCTGGTCAAAAGATAACCAATGTGATGTATGTACCTAGATTCCAATATAATCTTTTGTTTGTGTCAAAGTTGACAAAAGAACTAAAGTGTATAACCTTGTTCTATTCTGACTTCTTCATTTTTCAGGACCTCTTTAGTGGCAAAGTGAAAGGGGATTGGTAGAGAGGACAGTGGTCTATATGTGTTCAACCCCAATAGCATGCTTCATGTTGATTATGCTGTGACAACTGTTCCAGAGAGTAATGCTTCAAAATATTTCTCAAAGTTAGTTGTTATAAATACAATAATTGGCAGTAGAATAAATGTAGATCTTTGGCATAGAAGACTAAGTCATGTGCCCATTAGTACTTTGAAACAAATGAAAGAGTTTCAGTATGTAGAACTTGATAAGTATGAAGGTCATTGTATTGTTTGTCCACTGGCTAAACAATCAAGACTGTCATTTCCTTTGAGTAACACTGTTTCTACTACTTGCTTCCATACCATCCATGGGGATATTTGGGGCCCATACAGAGTTCCTACATACGATGGCAGAAGGTATTTTCTAACTTTAGTAGATGATCACTTCAGGCACACTTGGATTTTATTGCTGCCTTTCAAAGGTGAAGTAATTGTAGTGTTAAGGAACTTCTTGCTCATGGTTCAAAATGTCTATTCATGTTTTGTAAAAGTCCTCATAACTGACAATGGCTGTGAGTTCTTTAATTCACAGATGACTACACCTCTTCAATCCTTTGGAATCATTCATCAAAGTTCTTGTGTCTATATTCCTCAACAAAATGGAGTAGCAGTGAGGAGACACAGGTACATTTTGGATGCTGCAAGAGCTTTGTGATTCCAAGCATCAGTTCCTCTAAAGTTTTGGGAAGAATGTGCTCTAACTACTGTTTATGTGATCAACGGGCTACCAACACCCACTCTTCAAGGCAGGTGTCCCTATGAAGTGCTATATGGTCATTCACCTTCCTTGAGTCATCTGAATGTATTTGGCTGTCTGGGATATGTCACACATCTCAAAAGAGGGGATAAATTCTCACCTAGGGTTATTCCTGCTATATTCCTTGGTTACTCTATGACACAAAAGTGATATAAAATGTATGTTATTCACTCAAGGGATTTTCAGGTTACATTCAAAGAAGATGTGTTTCCATTTAAACCTCTTCCTACTAATAGACATATCTACTATCTCCTCTACTGCTCCTGTTATTCCTACTTCATCAGAAAGTGCTGGCTCTGCTGATTCAGCTGTGGAATCTGTCATGCCAGAAGCAGTTGTACAACCTACTACCATGATGGATACACCAGCATCTGTTGCACCCACTAAGGTAGTTGATGCCACCAGTTCTACAACACATGGAATTCCCATGACTTCAACTGCACCTGAAGAAGGCAGGAAATCCACCAAAACTAGTAAACCACCAGTTTGACTAAATTGGCTAAAAGACTATGTCACTCAGAAGCAAGGAAATGATATTTGCTGCTATCCTATGTCCAATTACGTTTCCTATGCCAACATATCTCCTTCTTTGGAATTGCTCTCTCTGTATACTCAGCTATTGAAGAACCTAAGTCTTACTCTGAAGCAGTGAAGAATAAGCAGTGGATAGAGGCTATGCAGTCAGAGATTGCAACGTTAGAGGAAAACAACACCTGGAGCATTATTGATCTTCCTTCTGGAAAGATGCCTATAGGCTACAGATGGGTGTACAAAGAGAAGTACACTGCATCAGGAGATGTAGAGAGGTATAAAGCCAGTGGCTAAAGGCTATAGCCAACAAGAGGGGCTAGACTACATATAAACTTTCTCTCCTGTGGCCAAAATGGTCACAGTGAGGTCTGTCATTGCTATTGCAGTAGCCAAGCACTGGCCTATTTAACAAATAGATGTTCATAATGCCTTTCTATAAGGTGATCCCCTAGAAGAAGTTTATATGGACATCCCTCAGGAGTTTGCAAGCCAGGGAGGGATTCCTAAAGTCTACAAACTTCATAAATTATTGTGGCTTAAAACAAGCTCTTAGGCAATGAAACAAAAAAACTGATAGATGCATTACTGGATCTTGGTTTTACTCAAAGTCACTATGATTATTCTCTCTTTACCAAGAAGGAGCAGGTTGCCCTGGTAGTTGTCTTGGTCTATGTGGATGATTTGCTAGTGACAGAGAGCTGTTCTAAGTTGATAGTAAGAACCAAGAATGACTTGAAGCTCAAGTTCAAAATGAAGGACTTGGGTGAACTAAAATTCTTTCTTGGTATAGAATTTGCTAGGTCCAGGAAAGACAGAGGAAATATGCATTGGAAACTTATCTCTGAAATGGGATTAGGAAGATCCAAACCAGTTGGTACTCCATTGGAATCCAATGTGAAACTCACATCTGATGAATATGACTCTTTTATTAAAGGAGACTCAATATCTGAAGTGGCAAAAGATGACAACCTACTTTCAGATCCAGATCAATATCAAAGGCTAATAGGGAGACCGTTATATCTCACTATGACCAGAATTGATATTGCCTATGTTGTGCAAGTCCTCAGCCAGTTTATGCACAAGCCAAAGCAATCACTTAGAGGCTGCTCTCAGAGTGGTGAGATACATCAAAACAGCTCCTGGTCNGGGGAGGGGTGCCTACAAACTAGGAGGTTTATTACAGGGTATCTAGTGAAGTTTGGTATCCTGGAAGTCAAAGAAACAGGACACATTAGTTAGAAGCTCAGCAGAGGCAGAATTTAAAAGCATGACTTCCACAGTTGCAGAGGCAGAATTCAAAAGCATGGCTTCCACAGTTGCCGAACTGAGCTGGTTAACAGGCTTGTACAAGGAGCTGGGAGTTAATGTTAACCTATCCATTTCCCCCTCTATTGTGACAAGAAAGCTACTATTCAGATTGCAGCTAATCCCATTTTTCACGAGAGAACTAAGTATATTAACATTGACTATCACTTGGTTAGGGAGAAGATTATTCAAGGTGTGATAAAAAACTTTTCATATTTCAACCAAGGAGCAACTAGCAGACTTCTTGAGGGAGGGTATTGAAAGAATAATCGATTACTATTAGCCAGTTAGTGATAGTAGTTAATGATAATAGTTAATGATAGTTAGGTAGTTAGCTACGGCTAGACACAACTAAGTTAAAAGTTAGTGTACAGTTATGAAAGTAGTTGGCCTGTATATTCAGTTGGTTCATTTTGCTATCTGAGAAAATGTTCCCTCCATAGTCTCTCTGATCTCTCCCTCTCGTTTATTGAAGATTATCCTCCAGAAATCATCAGTAACAATATTTGAATAAAAAATAGTACAGCCTATCTCTACTCTCCAGATATACAAATTGGGAAAAATCTAAAAAGAAGAGATTAGGCCCTTCTACACTATTACAGTTAATACTAATAAACAACATTGCATTCCCCTTGGAAGGGAATCCAGTTCCAACTTTTTGATGCAACAACAAGGTGGAAAACAAGAAAATCACAACAAAAAAAAAAAGAAAAGAAAAGAGGAAGTGTCCACATGATTTCCCCCCTAACTAATTCTATTCAATTAGAATCAGTCATGCAAATTATATTGCCGTGGCATATGCTCAACTGTCCCTTGTTTTCCTTCCAACCTTTTTTAAATAATTCACTGCCATCTTTAAACCCTTAAGTATACAAAGCTTGTAAACAAAAGGGCCATTGTGAAAAAGATAATGCTGCTTTGATGAATAGCAGTCCCCGCGGAGGTGTCGGTCATGCCACTTCCTGTTGGTCCAAGTCCAAAAACTGGATTTGTCCCTGTTGTGGTTGTGCCTGTTCCAGTGTTCATTCCTGTGCCAGTCCCGGTGCCGGTGCTGGTGCCACCTGTTGATGGATTTGTGGTTCCTGTTGTTGGAGTTGTGGTTCCACCGCTGTTAATGATAACCAGAAACAAAAGGATATCAAGAAACAGCACAAATAGACATTCCAACCAATTAACCGCTATAAAATACTACCTCGGATTCATATTTTCTTTATTATAAGATTTTTGCACACCCTTGTACCCCCTTTACTCTCTTTAAATGTCATAAAATTAACACTCAGACTAATTGAAACCTCAAGGGGTAGGATTTTAAAATTTTAAAAAAGTACTAGCAGTAATGATTTCTTGTTTTTAATAGTTAACCTTGCAAAACAACTAGTCATTTGGCCGGCTATTGAAAGAAAAAGCTTGCATCTGCTTCCCCTATTATATAACCGGTCAACCTAACGTGGTAGTTTCCCATCATAAGAAATTGGAGGACTACCGATTGATTGACTCGGAAGTAAAAAATGACGGTTCGACGAGCTCTTATTCGCTCCTGGCGGACCTGTATACTCTTGTTGGTATAAAGGACACATAGTTGCAGGAACCGAACTTGAGAAAGCAAGTTGCATGATACAAATAAATGAAGGACCTAACATGATTAAAATATGTTAAATGATGGTAGATACACACCTGAAATTTTCATTATAGCAAAAGAGAAAGGTACACCGTACTCATTGAACATTAATAGACAGATGATATCAACATCAAGACAGTTCACATGCGCATATATATAATGAAAGAAACAAACACTCAACAAATGACGATTTGATAGTGACAGTACACTAACAATGGCTATTGGAAGATTTTGGTGAAGTAGAAACAGTACCAGCAATCTTAATTAGTATACAACAATAGACAATTGTGTCATAATCAAGTTACACTTTAATTTGCATTTAGGCATGAATAATTGCAACCTTTTCTTATAAACCTTTTCATACCCAAAGACACAGTTTTAACTTCCATTACCAACCCCTTACCTTCAAACCTACAATTTGTAATTAACACAAATTTGATATCATCAAGTCACCAATTTTATTTTTAAGATTATAAATCTTGCAATTTAAGGTTTTTATATAACTACACTAAAAAAAGAACCTTTTTCTTCCTTTTTTCAAGACTCGAGAGGATGAGAATCAGCTTCAAGTTGAAGCTATTATCATACAGCCAGGAGCAACAGTTAGAATCTTTCCTTTATTTTTAAGGTAAAGCTTTAGGTGGAATCTAAATAAAGTCTTAAAAAGCCAAAATAGAAAAACTGTATATAAAAAAAGAGGCTTTGTAATGGAAATATTAGCAAGATTTCTACATTGAAGAGATGCTTATGTAATGCTAGCTAGATCTAAAATCAAATATGCCATAAGCTTAGAAAACATACCCAGCAGTGGACTGATATACACATCCAGAAGTGGCTGATGATAAAAAACAAAAAAGAAAAGTTAATAAATCTTTGAAAAGATAAAATAAAGGATCAAGTGAAGATAAAGAGGAAACTTACAAGATGGTGCATTTGAACTCAAAGTAGCAGTACCCTTAAAGTCACAACTAGCACCAGACCCACCCTTTCTCTGATAATAGCTATTTACAGCATAGCTGCAGTGATCTTTGATAGTATCAGGGTTGTAACAAGCACCACCTTGATGTATAGCAGTACAATCTGCTCCAGATCCACACGCATAATCTATGTTCTCCTGCAGAATCTTTTCATCTACCCCATCTTTGCAAACACAGTATGAAGCACCTACAACAACAACAAAAAGGCAAAAGACTGAATCTTTTAGCAAAACCCATGTCAAGAAAAATATGAAAAATGCAGAAAATAGAAAAAACTTGAGGGCAGAGTAAAAAGTGACAGCTTACTTGAGTGACCAGTGATAGCCAAGAAAAATACCAAAGACAACATAAAAGCAGCCATGATTTTGTTACAAGATCTTGAAGCAATAATGAAGAGATTACACACAATAGTCCCTTTGCTTTTTTCAAGAATAAGAGGTTGGTAAAGGAGATGAGAGAGGAAACAGAGTTTTCTTGACTAATAAAATGAGAGTGAGAGTGGCTAGTCTTATGAAGTACAGGAGCTAAATGTCTGTTTTAGTGGCTTGTTATATATGTATGAATAAGTGTATTAATGTACTATATTTTCGTATGTGTTTGTTAAGAATGGGAGACAGTGTTTTAGGAAATTGAGCAGTAAAGCAAAAGCCTTTTGTCATGTAATTGACAGTACCTGTACTTGTGTACATGTGTGGCTCTTTGCCTTTCAAACGGTCATAAACTCATCTTCATGGTCAAAATCTAACTCAACTCTGGTTAAACTTACTCCTCAAAAAATGAAAAATAAAAATGAAAAATTCTAGGGTTTCCAGTCTTGTTGCAGAAGAGGCCCCATGATAGGTTGTTTCAGCACACTTTTTCTGGTGTGCTGTCACTCTGAGTTTGCATTATGGTGTCCCTTTGCATTCAATGGAGGTATCATAAATAGTTCAACAGATTCTTCCCACAAGTATAGTAGAGTATATAATAATTACAGCGAAAAAGCTTTAGTTATGATTTGAATATGATCAAATATTTCTCCTATAGAATTTAAGGTTTCATTAATTAACTAATGATATAATAAAGGTTTCAATAATCAAATGATATCATTTAAGTAGATCTAATAATCACGTGGAAGAAAATTTTCTTACTAAAAGCACAAACGTAACAAAAAATGAGACACACTAGAAAAAAAAAAGATATAAGCGACACCATTTAGCTCAAATGTAAAAAAGATATAAGCGACACCATTTAGCTCAAAACATTTACTTTAAATCTTGTCAGAGTTATAAGTAGTACTAAAATATAAAGAACCTCTAGTGTTAGAGATATTTTTTTCCTTTTTGTCAAATTTTATTTTTATATAATATTTGACTCATGAGATGAGCCTAAATGAAGTGATATATATTGAAAGTGATGATTCGTAATAACCAACCACAACTTAAGTACTTGTAGTTAAGACAATTGTTGTTCTATTAACTAATAATATAAAAAATGATGTTCACTATAAATTGGTCGATTTAAATAGAGTACACATTATCTTTTTCAAATTATCAACTTATGGTTAACAAAAAACATACTTTTAAAAAACAAAATTATGTAAATGTTTCTTGTACTACGAATAAATGAAATTCATAGTCAGCTGGCGGAGCCAGAATTTTCGTTAAGGGGTGTCAAAACATGTAAAAGTAAACATACCAGAAAATTAAGGGGAGTCAATATATAGTATATATACATATAAATTATTTTTTTTACCTAGCTACACAGTGTATTTTTCTCGCAAAGGGGTGTCATTTGACACCCCTTCCAATAAGGTGGCTCCACCACTGTGACTGCTAGCTTAATTCTCCCTGTCCACAGCATCTTGTAGTTTAATTTTAAACTATCCAAGGGAAATCAGATATTTTAAAATTCATCCTCTGCTATTTTAAAATTCTAAAACTTCATATATATAAGCTAATCTCAGTTAAAAGATGCTATAGAAAACTGAATTTTTTTAATCATCACATACATGTTCTTTTTTAAAAGCTTACATTCTATATAATTTCTTCATTGCGACTATTCCCATGTACAAACATGTTATATACTGCTCTAATGAAGAACCTTGACACTCTTATTCATAGCGTTATACAAGAATGCTTCATATATACATCTTTTACGTACCTTAGCAAATGGAGGAGTCCTCCTATCTTGGGTAGTTAGTTATCCTACTAAACCATCCCCACTAATTCTTTGTTGACTAGTTATACCACCTTTAGCAAATATACTTGTGTTATCGCCATTAGGATTGGTAGGTTAGATTTATGTTCACCTCCTTTAAACTTTTTGTTAATATTTTAAGTGTGATGTTTGCGAGTCATCGTGCTTTTTACCCATTGAGTTCTAATAAAACATCTGAACTATATTTTTCTTTGATTAAAATTAATATACGAGGTAAAGATTAATACCGATCCCCCCACTATTATGAAAGTGAAAGCCTAAATGGATGGACTTAATTAAAAAATTTAGTTAAATTTGTACTATAAAGTTTGAAAATAGCAACACAACTTGAGACAGAATACAATTTGTTTATTAAGAAATTGAACTGGCGAGAAAATCGAAAAGAGAAAAAGCAGAATTTCTTATTGTTTCAACATCATTTTCTTATTAAGAGAAAAAAGCCTCTTACGACCATAAATAGTATTGAAGTTATGCAAAATCTTGTTTGGTCATTAGTATTTGTAAATACTAAACTTTATTATTTAGAATACTGACGACATACTGAAATTTTGATTAAGGAGTATTCTTGACTTTCAAATATTCTTTTCAACTTCGATTAAATTATAATTTCCAAAATGCCTAGAAAATATTTTGAAAGAGAGACCATAGTATCAAAATTAGATTAAGGAAATGACAGTTATTCGAAATGAAGAACGCTATAAAATGAAAATTAAGAAGCTAAACGTGAGCTTGGTAGATTCTTTTCCTTTTCTCGGGCATATCATATCAGTTTTCGGAATATGGACTCCTATATATAATGTGGCAGAGAGATTCTCTGCATGGGAAAACTGAGCTCAATGGTTAGCAAACTTTTACTGCTCTAAAAGTTTTCTTACGATGTTAATATAATGGTTGTTAAAAATATAAATAAGGTTTTTGTTAAGGGTGTTCAAAATCGAACCGAAATCGAAAATCGAATCGAAACCGAAACTTAATAGCTTATTGGTATNGTTATACCCAGTATTCTCTTCTATTTCTTCTGATAGTTATAAGTTGTTAATAGGCTCATCCCCAAAGATGATTCTACTGGGAAATACGCTGGAATGTAGCTCTATATTTCTTCTATTTAGTTCTCTTCTTAGGTGCCATATTCTATAGACTAGAATATAGTCTGCTGAGCATAGGAATTTTATTTTGAGTCACAGCGGTCAGCAAACAATCCGATAAGAGCTAAACCGATACCAATCCTCCCGATATCTTATCGGGTGACTAACAGATTATACATTTAAAAGCCGATAACCGATAAGCCAAACCATTAAGAGTAAATAACCGCCTAATCCGCCCGATAAGTAGCCCTAGTTGTTGTAACTTGTAGTAGAAGTCCTTTCATTTATTTTCTATGTGGAAAAGTAACATGAACGAAGATCTTCACTTCAGCGGTCCTCTTCGACATTTCTCCTGCCATAGACTCATCAACTTAAATAAAATATCATGTGCATTACTTGCACAAAGTATCTCACATTTATGTAGTATTCGGGGAAAGATCGTACTTCAACGATGTGATATAGATATTTTATCATAATGCAAGCATTATTGACTATTTTCATGCCTCAAACCCTTGACCTACAGATCCAGATCCACCTTGAGAGGTAGGGCTGCCATGCCACCCACAAGTGAAAGCAAAAATTTTTACGATCTATGTTGAAATTTTCCAGAATATTGATTCAATGTATACGCTGCCGCCCGCAATATCAAACTAGAGGAAAGGTGCCCTTGTTGGGAGTTAGTTTCTCAAAGTTATTCTTATGTTTAGGCTTAGGTTCGAGTCTGATTCTAATGAGGAAATTAATTTTTCGTTTGCTCAGTTTCCCTTTTATTTTATTTTTTCCCTTTTGTCTTTGTCTTTTCTACTTCCTTTGTTTTTCTATCCTTTACCCTCTTTATTTTTTCTTTTTCCTATCTTTTTTCCTTTTGTTTGTTTGTCAATGCATTTGAAAGGGGAACACATAAAAATAAACTTAAAATTATCAAAGTACCATCAATAATTAAAAACCATTGCGCTTAATTCAAAATTTTGCACTTATGTAAATGAAAGGTTTACAAGATTATTCTTTTTAAAATTCCGTTAGCTTGTATATTTTATATACGAAGTGCAATTGTCCTATTGCTGGCATGGTATAATTTCTTTTTCATCTCTTATGCTCTTATAGAATTAGTGTGATTCTCCTGTTAAAAATACTCTTTCACTTGTACAAAAGATTTTAATAAAAAGGCATTCCTTTATTGAAGGAAGATTGCTAATTTTTACTTGTGTTGATTTATTTTTTATATGATTGTGTTGATTTTTTGAGGGGAGCCTTGGCGTAAATTGATTAAGTTACTGACATATAACAAGGGGGTTAAGGGTTCGAGCCGTGGAAACAACCTCTTACAGAAATGCGGGATAAGACTGTGTACAATAAACTCTTTCCCTGGACCCGCGCATAGCGGGAGCTTAATGCACCAGACTATTCTGTTTTTATTGTGATGTTTTAGGATTGGTTGATATATTTGGTTGAGGTCCCGGGGGCCTCGGGTGAATTTCAGATGGTTAACGGATAAAAATTCGACTTTAAGCATAGCTCAAGCTTTGCTGCATCTGGTGTAACTGCACCTGCGCATTTTGGACCGCATGTATGGCACCGTAGAAGTGTCCTTTGAGCCGTAGAAGCGGAATTGGAGTTGTCCAGCTGAGCCCGCAGATGCGGTCATGGTTCCTCTGAAGCGAGCTCACAGAAGTGAGAGGTTGGGCGCACATGCGGAAGGTGCGCAGGTGCGATGGTGAGTTCCGCACTTGCGGTTGCGCAGATGCGAGAGAGAAGACCGCAGAAGCGGAGGCCCAACTATAGTGGTTAATTGCGAAAGCGGTGCATTTTTCACAAAAGCGAGACCGTAAATGCGGTCAAGTGGCCCACAGAAGCGGAGGTCCTGGGTAGTGTTTAAAACCGAAGGGCTTCGTGATTTTTGTCATTTTGGACTTTACAAACTCAGTCTAGGGCGATTGTTGAGAGCATTTTCGAGGAATTTCTTGAGGTAAGTCCCTTGTGTTTATTTTTGATCAATAATATTATTTTTCTGTATGTTTCCTACCTAGTTAGTATGTATTTAAGGTAAAAATTGAGAGTTTGGGGTTAGAGATTTAGAGAATTGATTTGAGGAATTGAGTAGCGATTTGGTGTCGGATTTTGATATTTTTGGTATGGGTGAACTCAATATTAAATGGGTGATCGTATTTTGTGACTGTTACCCGATTTCGAGACGTGGGTCCGGGTCGACCTTTTTGGGCCGAATTGTCTATTCTTTGCTAAAGTCGTAGTTTCATTATTTAAATTAGTTTCTTGTAGTTGTATTCATGTTACGTAATTGCTTTTGGC